TTGCTGTGTTTCAAGTGGCACATCTTCCAGCAACAACGGTAATTGATTGTCCAAAAAGTCAAGAAAAGCATTGCCATTTAGGGACTGCTCGAAAGAATATGGCCCAATAAGTCTGCCTCCCAGTATGCCACACCACACATTTAAACTCCAACGCGATTGGCGCTGAACTTCATGCAACCAACGCGGATTTTCTGCAGACCAATAATGCATTGTGCAGATTGAACCTTCCGTCACTATTAAAGATGGCTTGATCGGTCCGAATAATTTGAAATGAAAATTCGCTATTTTCGCGTATCATGCGCAACATCCAATAACAATAGTCCAACCTCCGATCAAGGCTTCCTCTTTCAAGACCTGATGCAAAACGACATGATATGGGTGCATTCTAAGGGTAATTAAAAAAAGTAAAATTTAAATAAATCCCTATATATTGGTGGATATTAGAACTTCTATGCTTCTTCAAAAGAGTCTGAACCGTATTCCGAGATATGTTCAACTCAAGGGATAATTCCATTGTGCAAACATGAGGATTTCCTTCAATATATCCTAGTACGTGGTTAATATTTTCTTGTATTCTTCCAATTCTTTGCCGTTGAAACTTAGGCCCAACACCATTGGCTCGTAAGCCCGATTCTAATCGGCGAAAAACTCTCACATCGCAAAGAAGCCGATTTGGATATCGAGTCGCGTAAACTCTTTTTGCTATTGCGGCATTCTGAAGACATTCAAAATAAACAGCCGGCATATCAACACCTTCATCGTTCGTAAAACGCATTTGGTAAGCACAAAAATTGCTTAAGTAACACGAAACTATTGACAACTACTATTGACAATTTGAGGATCATTTGTTTTGATAGGGTATTTGTTGTTGTCTTCCATGTCCATATTTTGTAATATATATTATATTTTGAAGAAGTGTGATTTTATTCTGATGAAAAAAAAATAATTCCAGAAAAGTTAGATCAAAAAAATAAAAATTGAAGGGATTTCCGTATAAATTTTTTTTATCCAAATTTTAGGTTAGGAATATGATATCGAGATGCGGTTTTCGCGAGCTTGTTTAGACATCATTTACGAGGGTGTTCTGAATAGTTTCCGATCTCAACATAAAGATGACAGCACTCGTAAATAAAAGCAAGTGAATTTTGTTGTTCATGTGATGACAGTTACTCATCAAAGTTTCACTCATTTTGGACGCGCAGTTGTTATGTAATAGTCGTTTGAGGGGGTTGATCTGAGTGTTTTTGTGAAAATGTACAAAATCGAGTAACGAGCTGTCATTAAATATTTGTTTTTGAAAGGCAATACACCTACGCAAATCAAAGATGAGTTGGGTTCTGTGTATGAGGACTCTGCACCATCATTTACCATAGTGAAATTTTGGGTACTTGAATTTAAACGTGACCGTAAGAGCTTGGGAGACGATAAACGTTCGGATAGTCCAAAAACTGCAACTACCGACGAAAACATGGCCAAAATACACCAAATAGTGCTAGACGACCGCCGAATTAAAGTAAGAGACATAGCAGAGGTTGTGAACATGTCAAAAGAACTTGTTTGTTCCATGCTAAAGTAAAGTAAGTCCGTGCGTTTAATGCCGCGTTTGCTCACGTTATACCAAAAACGTGTTCGAATGAACATTTCCAACGCTTTGTTGGCGCAGTTTAGGCGCAATTAATCCGAGTTTTGGCGCCGACTAATTACTGTAGATGAAACTTGGATACACCATTATACGCCCGAAACCAAACTACAGACCAGTCGTGGACTTATTTTAATCGATTATTTTCAAAAAGGAAAACCATTATAAAAGCATACTACGCAGCATTACTTGACAAGCTGAAGACAGAGCTTGCGGAAAAACGACCACATTTGCAGAAAAATAAAATCCTGTTAAGATAACGCAACGTCTCACACCGCCGCGGTTGTCATGGCGAAACTTCACGAATATGGTTTGAACTGATTGACCATCCGCCTTACTCACCAGATCTAGCCCCAAGCGAATTCTTTTTGTTCCCTCATCTAAAAATTGCGCTCGGAGGACAGATGTTTTCGTCAAATGAAGAGTAGGCAATCACCTTCGTGAGCAATTATTTTGAAGAGAAAAACACCGAGTACTATTTGAACGGGTTACAAAGATAGGAGGAACGCTGGGAGAAGTGTGTAGAGTTACAAGGAGACTATGTTGAAAAATAAAAAAAAAAAACAGAAAAAATGTCTTCTATCTTTGTTAGATCCGAAACATATCAGACCATACTCGTAGCTACGATGCCATAAAAAAAATCATACCAATGCATTTAATTTGTTTCAGAAAATTAACAATATCTGTCGGAATGTCGAAAAAAGCCCTCTGGCGGCACAAGTGAAACTAACAATACTTTAAAGGTTATAAAATTTATAGCACAAGAATAGCTCTTTTCAACTAGCCCAAGTTTGTCATAATCGGCTCAGATTTTTCAGGGTGTTTTTACGGAATACCCCCAGTACTTTAGGTTTAGAGATACAGCAAAAATTGTGAAACAAAATAGGTTCACATTATCCTCTACTTTAAAGATAAGGTATTGTTTTGTTAGGTTAATATAGCGGAATTCACAGAAACATCACTTTTTTAGATTAAAGATTGGAGTTATGCCCCCTAGAGGCCATTTCAGAAACTTAAAAATATTTTACAGGTTTTTCTCTTGGCTGTTAGTAATAACTTTTTTTGCCGCAACCCTCTACGATGGATAGGTTCCCAGATGCAGTACCTCGCATTCTCAGTTGGCCACCCTGTACGTCACGAAAAACCATGTCGCACATTTCCATCGGTCTGTCTGTCAGGATGTTTGTCTGTCGGTCTGTCCGCTAATCTTATAATCGCCTATAATTCGAGAAGTGCCACTCGGATTTCGATGACATTTTACACAATGTTACCACTATGCCAAGGACGCAAGATCTTTGTAGTTTTTGAAAATCGTGTCAAGGTTGGCAGAGAAAAAGAAATAAAACGAAAAAAAAAAATTTACCAAACTTCGTTTTTTGACGTATCAGAGGATCCTGATCATTTTTGAATAAAATTTCAGTAGTAGAAAAGCTTGGAGAAGGGGGGTTGTAAGGGGATGGACAAATTATCTCGATTTTTTTATGCCCTAATAATTTTGAACCAACAACGTCTAGACACTGTTCACCTCATTCGATTAAAAATACAATTTTCAGGCTCAAATACCTAATAAAAGCTATATTAGTGGGAGCATTACTGACGGTAGATTTGAAAATAACAAATATGTATTTTTCATACTTATTTTTGTACTGTTACTAAGCACATCATATTATACTGTTGATACTTCTACAATGCACTGAGCGTATTGACTTTGTTAATTATTATTATCGCACCAGTTATGAGCAGTATACACACCTAATTAAGAGGCTTAGTTACTTCGCGTACATATGTGATCATTTATCTGTTTTTTATTTTAGCTCAGTGAAATTTGGTGGTGTACACGTTCAAGCAAATACAGCGCTCTCCTTTTTTGAATACGCCCAATAAGATACTGCTGTGACAAGCGGTGTTCTTTTTTCAGCGTCAGTGGGGAAAGTATTTTTATGACCGCGTAATATCGGGATCAGCTAAACCGATTTCGATATTTGCAGGAATTTTCAGCTGCCACTTTTTCGATATAATGTAGTCTCAATTTCTCAAGGAATGTTTGATGGTATTATGATTCAATTGATAATTTTGAGACCTACCTAGGAACATGCTGTTTTTTCAAACTACTACACTACACTTTTCATTCGTGGAACTAGAATTAAAAACTCCATTTGCCTGTGTAAAATTCCAATAAGGCGTATATTCGAAAAATAATCTTGATGACGAAACGTCGTTGAAATTTCAGATATACCACCATGTGGATGAGAGAACAGTGGCAATGTTAATGCGTAATTTATTTTGAAATCCCATATCACATAAAATCAGGATAAATTGTGAACGATGTTTGAAGAACTCATTATTTGTTATCCTCGGAAAAACTACAAATTGCGAAACCTTTCAACTGCCATTTTCTTAGTTACCTAAATGCTCAACTTTGCCCTCATTTGATTGGCCTCGTATTTCTTATCGTTTCCGAGATCACAATGGTAAGAGTCGTATTTGAAATACCCGTGAGATACTGAGCCGTATTCCTAAAAGAGGAGCATATCGTCGGAAGCATAAGGTAAAAGTATAAGGTCTTGCTTCGTAGAAAAAGGTAGAAGTATAAGCATATCCTTGTTTTCATATTCATAATGATTACCTTATACTCGCGGGGATATCCTCCAAGAAGAAAAGGTTGACTGGTATTTGTATCTTAAGCGACATGTGCTGACTTGTTCCAAACTATAGAAAATAATGGCAACTACCTGCAGTTCATCGCAGATGAAATTGCCATTGCTCCCATTATTTTGCAAAAGTCATAAGTTCTAAAAATAATACGAATCAACATTCGGTAAACCATTAGATACTAGGCTTATTAAAACAAAAAACAACATGAAATCAAGATTGATGAAAAAAAAACAGATCTAAAAAAAACTGGTAATAAAGCAATTAAATTGTTAGATTGGGAAAGAAAAATGCTGAAAGGCAAGGTGACTGTAATCCTACAATTGGGAAAATTAGAGGTGCAATTCAGGTTGGTAGTGTTCAAGAAGAAGGAAGTGAACTATATAACGAGCGTAATGAGCAGATAGTATTACAGCGCCAGCAATTCAGAAGACATTGCCACCAAAAAGAAAAGTAGCAACAGAGAAATACGAAACTGAGGAAACCAAAGGGTCAACTACAAAAGAACTGCAACGTCAAGTGCTATTATGGTAGTACCAAACAAGTATTTTAGAGAGAGTATTATAAAACGAAATTAGAAATGACGCAGCGTCAGAAGTAACCTGTAACTTATGATGTTCACGTAAATAAAACTTATTATAATTTATAAATACACTTTAATCAGTAAAACTATTTATTATAATACTCAAGTTTCTTCTTATTTGTTGACCTAGTTGGCGGAGAGGAAGTTCGTCATTCTCATGATTTCCGTTATCTTCATCTGGGTCTTGTTCAACTAACTCAAGGTCAGAATCGCCCAAGCTCTTCGCAACATTATGGAGTACAATACAAGCAATAATTATTTTCGGCACATTTTCCAACTTTACGCGGCAAACATACTGTAGGATATGAAACCGGCGTTTCAGTTGGCCGAAACAGCGTTCAATTATAACTCTTTCTTGTTTTAAAAGCTTGTTATAATTTATTTCTGCACCTGGAGTAGGATTTCTGAAGGGGTCATAAGGCATGACTCAATGACGGTTATCATCGCCAAGCACCAACATTTGTTATGATCTAGTCTGTGAATTTCTCCATATTCTGGAATCATGCACAGATCCAGGCTAACTGACATCAACACTTGTGAACGTCTCTCTGACATCACAAGTGGCTTGCACATTTAAAGTAGGTTTCCCTTTTCGGTTGATATACTCATCTCCAAGGCGATTGGGTTTCAGGATTCCTATATGTGCACAATCAATTACACCAATTGCTGTTGGAAATTTTTACATGCTTTGCAATATCCGCTTGGCCTCCATCAGTTCATGGTTGGTAGTTGGAAACTTCATCCATTCGTTCGACTGTGCAACTATGCTGTCCACAACTCTATCCACAGTCCGAGATACCGTTGCTTGACTAACACCAAGTTCCTGACCAATACCTTGTTGATATCCAGAGTCACCGAGATAGCGTAGACATATCTTCATTTTATGAATACATGAAAGTGCTCCTCCTCGAGTTTCCTCATTCTCAACTAAAAATCTGTCCTCAAGCCATTGTACATTTGCTTCGTCGAACCGATATAATTTTTTGAAGTCACGACCAAGTGAAGGTAAACGAGGGTTGTACGTTTTAACATCAGTAACATCCACGATCTCCGCCATCATCGTTTGACCACCTTTCCTTACGAAGTTGAGTCTGATACTGACTATACTCAGAACTTTTGAAGGATATGCTTCCTATGACAAGTATAAGGAGAAGATTATGAATATCCTTTTACTTATGTCACTGCTTTGAAGGATATGCTTATACTCAAAAAGCAAAAGCATTTACTTCAAATTATTATAAATACCATCTGGAAGATTTCCTTCAAAATTTGCAAGTACAAGGATATCCTTTGTTTTATGAATACGGCTCACTGCCATAAGCTGGTGGGATGCCACAAGATGCCAACGATGCTTGTGGGGGATTCTTCCGGAAGGGATGATTTTTGCCGCCGTATCGCGACGTGCGCGATTCCTTACCGAATTGAAAACAATTTTGAAATGATAAAGAGGGGAAGGAATTCATGCTAGTAAAATTTTAGACGTTGAGCTATAATACTATAATCATTGTGCTATACTGCTGCCGTTAAAAAGCGTGCAACACTAAGCGCGTGTTTGCACATCCAATAGATCCACCGAATAGATCTGTTTGCTGTACTGTACACCAACATATACGTTATCTTGTTAACAATTTATATATGCATATATAATATCAGCTGGTTTAATAGTTTGTTAATGAAAATGTGCTTGTAAATCGTTCGCCGTCCATTGTTTTTCTTTAATTTAAGAGATAAAGTTTTATTGAGTGGACATCGCAGTGACGTGACGTGTGATGCTGAGATCAGATAATCTGGTTGTAAGGAGTACGCGTAGTGGTTTCCGTTGTGCATGGATATGTTTAAGCCGGCTAAATTGTTCCAGCTTCATGTGCAGGTACGGGTGTGGTGTATTTTGAAATACATTTATATTACAATAAGTCAGTAAGAATGTTACCCATATCGTTAACGATTACTGACTTTTAATATATTATTATACTTCAAGGAATAGATAATTTTTTAGCAAACAGTGCAACAGAAATTTATTGGTATCGTTAGAATACTGTCTTGTAATGATACAGGGTCCGGCAATGAAGTATGGTGTTTTTGAAAAAAAATACAAACTTTCATTTTTAAACATACATCAAAATTTATCATTTTAATACATTAGTGGAATGATGCCATTTAAGTAACATAACATAGTCAGGCGCGAAAAATTACATTAGTTAGGTGGCGTCCATTCTTGTCGATGCATTCTTTTAGACGGATTGTAAAATCATCCATACTCCTTTCTAGCATGGCACGAGGAATCCTTTCAATTTCGCGCGTTATGAGTTCCGAAAGAGCCTCAAGAGTTTGCGGTTTGTCTATGTAAACTTTGGATTTTAAATAGCCCCATAAAAAGTAGTCACAACATGAAAGGTCTGGTGACCGAGGTGGCCATTCCACATTTCCATGCAACGAAATAAGGCGCCCAGAAAAATATTCCCTTAAAAAGCCCATTGCAGCTCTTGATGTATGGCAAGTCGCCCCATCTTGTTGGAACCAAACTGTATTGATGTCAATGCGTCGTCTTCTTAGTTCGGGCAGAAAATAATCACGCAACATTGCGCAATAACGATCTGAGTTCACTGACACTGTTCGTCCGTTTTCACGAAAAAAATACGGGCCAATTATGCAATTTCGAGATACGGCACACCAAACAGTTACCCTCTCAGAGTGCAGAGGTTGTTCATGCAGTTCTCGTGGGTTTTCGTGTGCCCAGTATCGGAAGTTTTGTTTGTTTACCATGCCCGATAAATGAAAATGGGCCTCGTCACTCATGAACAAAACGATGTTGCCGTGCAGCAATTCCAGCATCCTTTCTGCGAACCTGTGTCGTCTCACAAAGTCATTTTGGAGCAGCTTCTGCACAACCATAATTTTATACGGATGGTAATGGAGGTCCAAATGCAAGATTCTGCGAACTGAACGATCTGACATTCTAAGAGCGCGAGCGTGACGTACCGCTGAACGGCGAGGGCTATCCACCGCTTGTTGCACTCTTTCAATGTTTTCCGGAGTTCGCACTGTTCGATCTCTTCCCCTTGCAGTACCAGGTCTCAACGATCCGGTTGTTTGAAATTTATTCACCCACTTCAAAATGGTATCGCGTCTTGGAACGCGACCATGCCGACCAACGTTAAAATGGTTTCGAAATCGTCGCTGTGTAAGCACAACAGAACGACCAGTTTCAATAAAAGTGTTGTAAATAAAAACGCGATGTGCCACAGACCACGGCTCCATGGCTACTAAAATGGCATCGCGGAACGAGTAGATATCAATCATCGTGAAAACATTGGCTCGACAGTGCTGCATGTAATAGTCGTTGCAAAAACACCATACTTCATTGCCGGACCCTGTACATTCAAATAAGGGTTATTATATGGCCGAAGTTTCAGGCACCAATTTGGTTGACGCGTTTAGTCAATTATCTCGTAAAGTATTATCAAAATGTGATAGAAAGGGGGGATGCAACGCACGTGATGTCAAAAAATAGCATTAACTACTACCTCTTTTCTTCTAAACTCGTTGTACGATAGCAGAGATTACGCAGTCACAACTTCGCCTATAGACAGACTGATGGAAGTGAGTGACTTGAATATTTATGATGACATCACAAACCATCCAAAAATATAACATTTTCCATATTTACGGATCGCATAAAATACTGATTCTTGTTAAAATGATCATCTTGATCAAAGATAATGATTATGGAGTATCCCCAAAACAGGGTTGGTGGGACGTAATTTTTTGGCGTTAATATATTCACACGTTTCCACCCCAGTAATTCTACGCACCTGTTAGACATATTTTACATATTATTGATTTCCCCGTACAGTTGCCTTACCACATACCAGAGTTACAACTTTTTCTACGCTCAGTGACATTTTTCAAGGCTCAACCGTCCCTGACTCTACTTTTTGTTGATATTTGATCAATCTCATAAGACAGTTATGGAGTTCCGTTTAATTATCACGTTCTTAGGTCGACCCACCCATCGTTACAGACGTCAATTTTACTCATTTTTTATTCTGAAGTACCCGTTTTCCCTTTTTTTTGAGAGCCCAAGTCTGTGGTCGCCCAATTTGGATTTATCATTACAAAGTGGTATTCTAACGATATGAATAAAGAATATTCACGTATTGCAAGACTTTGTATTCCATATCTTCCTCTTTCCTGTCATTCATGTTTTCTAGCATTTGCTTACTCATACTGATTTTTTAGAGCTATTATTATTTATACGTCATTTGAAAATACAGGTTAAATAATATCTGCGAAAATAACATTCTTTTATTAACATAAATCACATATTATGAATCTTTCAACCTATCAAAACTGTTCAAAATGAAGTTCAGCTACAGTACAATTTTTTGTCTAATATCGGGTTATTCATCGTGGGGCTATCTAAAGTTATTTTACATTGCTTCAATAGAAAATGAGTTAAATGACGTATTCCTCCTGGTGCATTTGATAGCCTGTGAATATTGACGCTTGTGTCATTTTCTTTTCAGCAGTTTTTGCAGCCTTAGATTCACATTTTTTGGCAATACCAAGTGTTACTTATAAATATTATCTTTGCTTTCTATCTTCTAAACGAAGCATTTGGTTAACATTTTAAATCATCTCAGAATAGGACGAAGAATCATCCCTGAAATTTTATCTCATGCTTAGGAAAGCCCTGAATTTCGAATATTGATTATGCAATATGACTGTTCAAATGGATGATATTGTCCTTTGAAGTTCTGGTTACTTTTGCATGGTGCGTTAATTTCCTGATATAACTGATAATCACATGTAAGAATTAATTGGAAATTGCAAATGTACTCTGTAAATTAAGGTATTAGTTGTTTACTTCCTGTAATTATTATCATTATTCTAGAAGTTGCGAACTTCCTCTGTTTCAACTTTCCGAGCTGAAATTGCTAGTTTTTTAGGCATGTCACAATCTGCTCTAAATTACCTGTTTGGATGTTTGCTTCAGTTTCGCCTATGACCAAAATACGTGTCCTTGGCTGAAAAGGCTTCTTACAGTCAAATCTTTTTGGATATCTGACTAAATAATCAAAGCTTTTTCTGGATAGAACAACTCATCACGTGGACTCATTGGTCTGCACATTTCTCTAGTGCCGTGACCTGGAGATTTTAGATCCACCGTAAACTCTTACGATGTCACATTAGGAAGTTAGTTTCATGCTTCTTGACATGGTCCATTGCCGTTGGCATTAATTTCGCACTTCAATTTACATCTGACTAAACTGCTTCCATATATCATAACACATAAAATGCAATACAATTTTAAATCAAGTTATATACAGAGAGGAAGGGGAGAATCTTTAACTTCAAATAAATAGTTTTTTCGTTTAGGAGATTGTTTGCTTGTTTTGTGCGTTAGCTGAAAGAAAACTGTTC